CCGCATTAGAACTGTTGTTTTATAGAAAATTATAATTGGTGGCTAACTAAGAATGCGAGGTACTACATCTGGAAACCTATCGTAGATGCTTGCGGCAAAAAAGTTCTTACTAAAACGGCGAAGAGAAAAACCTGGAAAATATTTACAAGTTTCCGCTAGGGACGTAACTGCAATCTGAATCTAAAAAAGTGATGCTTCTGTGAATTCCGCTATATTGACTTAACAAAAAAATGCCTGATCATCAAAATCGAGGATAATGTAATTTTTTTTGTTTGACAATTTTTGCTATATCTCTAACCCTGGCACGACCAGTCGGACATGCCTACAAAGGTCTTCCTAAAGACAACTTGCCATCCTTCCAAGTGACCGTTGTCTCACCACTCAGGCGATTACCGTTTTCGAGTAAAGGAACGTGGCCGGTATGAAAAAGCCTAAACTTCTCATTCGTCAAACATTATCGCATGCCAATAGTCTTTTGTTCAACCGTTCATTGCAATGGACCGTAGAGGGATTTTTTCACATTAGGCAAAGCTTAGCGGATATTCACGGCTTTTTTCTAAGGCGGCGTCCAGTGCCCCTTGCGCTTTGCGTACGGCCTTCCGAAGCATGCCTACAACACCTAACCACAGTGTCTACACTTCTTTGCACTCTAACTGCAATTGCCCGAAAAGAAAGTCCAGCTTCCCGAAGTCCCACTATACGGCCCCTATCAAACTCACTAAGTTGACGAAATCGTAAAGGTCTCGGTACTCTAGGCACCGTAACCGATCGTAAAGGATGTCAAGAACCAAAATCCGCCAACTTTGATTCTTTACTGCGGCTGAAATATTCATTTTAGAGCGTTAGTGAATTAAAAAAAAGCAGTATAAAAACCGGAATGTCCAACTGATAAGGCTGAACATTTTTTCACTTGTTATTTACAGTAAGATAAATACATCACCAACTTTTATTAAAATAAAACCATTTAAACTGGGTGTTCGGATTTATAAGTCACTTAGTATAAAATAATTGTTAGCAAGCAAATGAATCAGTAGCGTACAAAAAACAACAAAATACGGCTCTGTCTACCTGCCGTTGAAGGATCCTTCAGAATTGCGTATCATTTGTTGATATGGGGAATTTTGAAATATTAATAATCATTAGCTGTTATTCTACCGTAATAGATACTCATGAAAATGATAGTAGCTGCTCCATGGACTAACCATATTTTTTTATCAAAAACCATGCAAACACACTAGCTTACTGGAAAAGATGGTCCACATTAACTAACAAATCATCAATATCAATATACTCATTCCGGCAAAAAAGTAGCTACTTTTTTGATGGTGTATTAATTTATTAGAAACACAGAAATGTTTGAAAAAGGCATATACAGGGTGTAGTAGTAGTGGATCACTGGAAGTCCGATGATAGAGGGCCTCAAAACATATCGAATAAACTCCTATATGTGTGGTCCGAAAATTTTATAGTTCAGTAGATATTTTCAATTTTGTGTTGAAATTCCGAAAAAACGGGATAATGAACTTTCAGTCGCAATTACAACTAAACCATTAGGTTTAGGGCTGTGATTTTTTTTGTGAGATGAGCTAAATGGTGAGTTTTAGTAATGGTTATGTCACATTTTAACAGAGCTAATTAGATATCAACGCAAAAAATCATAAATTCATTTTTTTGTGAAAAATCTCTTCCATCCCTCAACTTTGGAGGGCGGTAAAAAAATGGAGGTTGTATTCAATTGTTAATTTTATTTTAAAAACTAGGTGCGGGAGCGTTCAATCTTCGGCCGACCGAAATTACTACCTCAGGCAATGGTCCAGCGCAAAATTTGTATCCAACGTTTGGCATCTGAGTAGAATCATGTCATATTCCCGGCGAGATTATGCAGAAATGCATTACTATTATGGTGCTGCTCGCATGTATCGTGTGTATGTGGTTAGAAAAGGTGGACCACAACAGGCGGTATATCCCGACTACCGGGTTTTTCTACGCGTCCATAATGCGTATATGGAGGGCCGCATACTAGGCACTCATCGTCAGCTAGGAGCGCGGAAGATACTCCCAGAAGAAATAGAAGATATAATAGAAGCAGCCGAGAGAGATCCCTCTATAAGCACCAGAGCCATTGCCGGGAGCAGAAACATATTCCATACTTCAGTGCACAAATACTACGCTCGGAGAACCTTACCATGTACAAAAAGCACAAGAATTGCTTTCAAGCGACTATGCACAACGGGTTGAATTTTGTGAGAATATGTTGAGAAGGTGCGAAGAGGATGAAACTTGTTTCGACAGCATCTTATGGACAAATGAATCCAACTTTAACGGAAATTAAATATTCAACATGCAAAATTTCCATTCATGGAACGTGGAAAATCCACACGCTATTCGCGACACAGCTTTCAACGTCAGTTCGGCGTTAATTTATGGCCTGGAGTACTCAACAGAAAATCAATGCATGAGCTGCTAGAGGATGTACCTTTGGATGTTCGAAGCCGCATGTATTTTTCATGCGATGGTGCCCCATGCCACTTTGCACGGGACGTACGGCGTTAGTTGACAGTGCCTTTCCTGGGCGTTGGATAGGTAGCGGTGAACACATACGATGGCCTCCTAGGTCTAGATTTTTTTATATGGGGGTTTTTTAATGGAATAATCTATACATCTGAATATACAAATATCAAGCAACTGCGCCTGAAAACTGAAGAAGCAAAAATAAAAATTATGGAAAACACAAATTCATTTCAAAGACTACAGGACAATTTCATTAGAAGGTCTCGCTTGTGTATAGAAAATAATGGAGGCCATTTCGAATATGTTCTTTAAAAGTTAGTTAAATTAAATTATATTATCTTCCACATTTGGCGGTAAATCGCCATAAAGAGCGGCTAAACACAATAGTTCTGTACTTGTAGGTGGTAAGGATTCTATTGCGTTTCTTACGTTTATCGCATCACAACAACGAATGTGACATGATACACTCATAGTAGCAAGCTGAAATTTTCAGGGTTTATTCTACATGGATTGAAATAGTTTTTACAATAGACTGAATAATGAAATACAACCTCAATTTTTTACCGCCCTCCAAATTGAGGGATGGAAGAGATTTTTCACAAAAAATGAGTTTAAGATTTTTTGCGTTGATTTCTAATAAGCTCTGTTAAAAAGTGACATAACCGTTGCTAAAACCAACCATTTAGCTCCTCTCAGAAAAAAATCACAACCCTAAACCCAGTGGTTTAGTTGTAAAAGCGATTGAAAGTTCATTATCCCGTTTTTTTTTCGAAATTTCACAAAATCGCAAATATGTCCTGAATTATGAAATTTCGGACCACACATAAAGGGTTCATTCGATAGATTTTGAGGCCCTCTATCACCTCACTTCCGTAGATCCACTACTAACTGTACACCCCGTATATGCACTCAGACTTTGTATATTGCGTCTGCAATTGTTTGATTTATAAACACTGACAGAACAGACGGTCTTCGCGTCATTTTCGGGAGAAATAGTTCGGAACGCTAGCCGTCTCGACTTTGTGAAGAAACGTTTAACCATATGAAGAACCCATAAACTTATTATTTTGTCGCAACTTTAACATCTATATAATGTGCAACTGTTATATTAATCTCAAAATGCATATTCCTTTAAGCTGGTTGAAAGCTATTCATTTCTAAGCCTACTTAAGCATTTTCTAATTAATGTTAATGATTCATTGTTCACATGCTCATCATCAAGTACCATACTACAAAAAATACAAGGTATATCGCAAAGTAAACAGGACAAAGAAAAAATTAACAAACAGTTTTCGTTTCGGTAAATCGAATTTATTTTATTCAAAATAGTCTCTTTCAGAGTTAATATAGCGATTTGCGTGGATCAAAAGATTTTTGAATGATGATTTTAGCTCATTGACCGGGATGTCATTCAAAATGGTCGTCGACGCCTTTTGGATGGCCTCTACTTCGACAAACCGCTGTTCCTTCATGGCCAAATGTAGTTTACCGAACAGAAAATAGTCACACGGTGCCATATCAGGAGAATCTGGGGAGTGGTTGATGGCTAGAATGCTATTTTTGTCAAAAAATCGGACACAAGCGTTGATGGATGAGATGGCGTATTATCATGCAACTAGCGCTAGCTTCATTTTTCTATTCTGGACGAATATGCGACAGTACACGCCTCGACACACCAAGATAAAACACTTCATTAACCGTTTGGCCCGGTGGAACGAATTCTTTGTGAATAATTCCTTTGAAATCGTAGAAACAAATGAACATTGTCTTCACTTTGGACTTTTCCAAACTGTTTTTTTTTTTCGGATTTGGCTCGCTTGGGTGCTTCCATTCGGCACTTTGACGGGGTCGTATTGAAAACAAAAAGATTCATCACCAGTCACAATCTTTTTGTCTTTTTTTGGTCATCCGTGAGCTTGTGCTCATCAAACCGTGAACACACCTTTCTCACACCCAAATTCTTGGTCCAAATGCGATAGATTGAATTTTTAGAGATATTTAATTCCATTTCTATGTATCTCAATGAAGATTTTGGATCATTTTTAATAAATACACGCACTTTTTCGATGGTTTCTGGCATAATCACTAATTTTGGCTGGCCAACATGTTCGTCGTCTTCCAGCGACTCACGACACTCTTTGCACCGTGTAAACCACTTGTGGACTCGGCTACGAGATAAGCAATCATCACCATACACTTGCATCAACATCTGATGCATTTCGGTAAATGTTTTACAAAGTTTAACACCGTTGTTCGATGCTCATTTTTCGACCGATGTTAAAAACGTACTGTCACTTTGAGCGCGATAACTCCGCGTGAAGTGGTTTGATTGTCATGAAATTTTGATAAGGCATCTATGAAAGACGTACCTATCCAACGCTAGTCTTCGATAATAGATGGCGCTACTTGTATCGGACATCTTTCAAAAGCCCTATTTACTTTGCGACAGACCTTGTGTATATGGAGAGTCAAGGGAAATGGATAATTACCCCATTTTTTGAATGGTTTCTCAGCCAATCGTAGATATTCTTCATGGTTTCTTTTGGCATAAGGAATAAATAACACAGTCGATACATTGTTGCTAAAATTTAAAACATCCAGATGACGTCATGTAAGCTTTTCTGTATGTAATATCTAAAACTTTAAGTCATACTAGCTTTCTAAAAATGTATAATAATCCGAGGATAGGTTGTCAATTTTTGACAAAATTGAAGCCTTGAATTAACTGAAATGCTGATCCAGAATGATATGGAATGGGCCTAAATGCATGAGTTGTTGACCATTACCAGCAGAATAAAATAAGTAAAAATGAAATATATACGGCTGGTTGCAATCCAACTTATGCTATTTAAAAAATATTCCACCTCATCAGAATTATCACTTAATGGAGAATCCTTGAAAAAATATAGATGAAATAATACAGTACTTCACTTTCAATTAGCATATCCAAATAATACTAAAGTGTGTGTTTCCCTTCCCAGTGTTTCTGCCATAATTGGAGACTCCAATGCAAAAAATGGGTTATATTTAATAGTAGGGATGCACCGAGTGCTTCTTTTTCAAAAGGCCGAGTACCGAGTATTCTTCAGAGTACTCAGGGATCCATTTTAGATCCGATTTTGTTCACGCTTAGCTACATCAGCCTTTTTGTTTCTCCATTCGAATAGGCACTATTTTTGGGTTGTAAACGATGAAAATGAGATTAAAAATGCCCGCAAATGCGTTAGTATGCACACCTTCTTAATCACGACATTTGCAGAATGGAACGGTACGGGTATCATGTGAAACACCTATAAAACGTCAAAAAAATGTAGTAGGTAGTTTTTAGGGCGCAAACAGTCATTCCACGTTTGCTCACTTTAATCAAAAACGGCTGGTCTAGCTAAGCCAGAGAATTACCATTCCCCAAAATATAGGTACGTACCTTAATCTGAAAAACAATTTTTCAGCATTGACTTTTTTCCAATTCTTGTTGAATATTAATTAGAATATAATCCAGAGTACAATTTCATCTGTCAATCTACATTCCATTACTGTGTACGGTAGTACATTGCCAAGTGATTGACAAACGCACCCCTGATTAAGCAATTAACATTTGACGAAAGTCATCTCTTGATTTTTTTCGCACTAATTTCGATAAAACAAAACAACATAACATAATCGCATAACGTAATAATTTATAACAGCAATGTTTTAAAAGTAACAAAAAGAAGAGTGCCATGAAAGAAAAAACAATTGTCAATCAAAGAAATCTGACTTTGACATAACTTACTTAAAGCAGTACGTAATTAATGATCGAAATATTTGAAGTGTGTTTAACAGTCTTAAGCTATAAATTTACTAATATTGGAAAAAGGTTCAAATTACAAACACAGAAATGGCTAATATGCATTTTGTTTATGGAATGGCTCAAGGCAATTCTAGAGCGGCTAGGCGCATTTATCAAGAAAGATATCCTCATCGCATTATATCAAATAGACAAACATTCGTGAGAATATATGAAAGGCTGTGCGAATTAGGCACCTTTCAAAGGTCGGTTGGTGGAAGAAGCAGTTTTACATGAAGTTGAGTGTAGCCCTGATACAAGTACACGCAAAATTGCAGAACAATTAAACATCTCGCACTTTACTCTATGGCAGGTTTTAAGGGAATATTAACTATACTAAGTAACATATAAATCCGAACACCCAGTTTAAATGGTTTTATTTAATAAAAGTTGTTGAATGTATTTATCTTACTGTAAATAACAAGTGAAAAAATGTTCAGCCTTATCAGTTGGACATTCCGGTTTTTATACTGCTTTTTTTTAATTCACTAACGCTCTAAAAATGAATATTTCAGCCGCAGTAAAGAATCAACGTTGGCGGATTTTGGTTCTTGACAAACTTTACGATCGGTTACGATGCCTAGAGTACGGAGACCTGTACGATTTCGTCAACTTAGTGAGTTTGATACGGGCCGTATAGTGGGACTTCGGGAAGCTGGACTTTCTTTTCGGGTAATTGCAGTTAGAGTGCAAAGAAGTGTACACACTGTGGTTAGGTGTTGTCAGGCATGGCTTCGAGAAGGCCGTACGCAAAGAGCAAGGGGCACTGGACGCCGTCGTAGAACAACAGACCGTGAAGATCGCCGCCTAAGATTATTGGCCTTAAGGGAGCGTTTCTCCACTACCAGGTCCATTGCAAATGAATCGTTTGCAGAACACGGAAGACCTATTGGCATGCGAAGTGTTTACCGACGAATGAGTTTTGGCTTGTTTTCATACCGGCCACACTGGGTCCTCCCTTTAACTCGAGAACACCGACGTAATCGCCTCGAGTGGTGCAGACTACGGTCACTCTGGGATCAGGAATGGAACAGTATTGTCTTTAGTGACGAGTCTCGATTTTGTTTAGGCATGCACGATGGCCGTGCCAGGGTTAGAAGGCGACGTGGGGATAGGAGGAATCCACAGTTTTTTGTTGAATGACATGTTCATCACACTGTTGGAGTTATGGTTTGGGGTGCTATAGCTTATGGTTCCAGGTCACCTTTAATCTTCATCAGAGGTAACATGAACGCGCAGCGTTAAATCCACGAAGATCTAGAACCCCATCTTTTACCCTATCTTGACACCCTGGCAGATCCAACTTTCCAACAAGATAATGCCCGACCACATGTTGCAAGAGTCACAATAGACTTCTTTCAACATAATGATGTCACATTGTTACCATGGCCACCAAGATCTCCCGACTTATCCCCAATTGAGCACGTGTGGGATATGATGGGTAGGAGATTGCTCAATTTGCAACGTCCTCCTCAGACTCTAGAAGCACTTCGAGAGGAGTTGGTGGTTGCCTGGAATGAGATACCACAGGAGGACATTGACCACCTGATCAGAAGCATGTCTAGACGCGTTGGAGAATGCGTAGCACATCACGGTGCATCCACACATTATTACAGGTCAAAGGGCTTTAAAGCAGTGCAATCATTTTGAAATTTTTATCATTTACTTATTATGCTTCATTAAGTACTTATACAAAATTTTATTAAAATAAAACCATTTAAACTGGGTGTTCGGATTTATATGTCACTTAGTATATATCCTTACCACATACAGCGTGTTTAAGCGCCGATTTTCCCCCAACGAGTCGTTTATTGTACTTAGCTTTTACAACAACAGGTAGCGTTTCCAATATTTCTGCCCCGTATTTTATTTACCGAGGAAGCGTGGTTTTCTCGAAATTCAATTATGAACTTTGAATCATATCTCGGCTGAAGAAAATCGCCATGCTGTTACAGAAATTAATTATTAACAACAGTTTTACCCCCGAGATTAAATGGTCAAGAGTATCGTCATTTTTTGGAATTTATTTTACCTAGAAAATGTCCCGCTCGAAGAGGAGCAATAAGGTTTATGCACGATGGGGCTCCACCTCACTTTAGCATAGTAGTTCGCCAATTTTTGGATGCAACTTTTGGAGAAAACTTAATCGGGCGCGCAGGTCCACAATCATGGTCATCCAGGTTACCGGATTTAAATCCGTTAGATTTTTTCTTTGGCGCATTTGAAGTCCTTCGTTTACAAAATTCCAGTCAACACTGAAGATGAATTAACCCAACGGATACGAGTTTCATGTGATCAGATAAGACATACGCCAGGAAAATATTTCAACGAGTTCGGCAATCAATGTTAAGACGAGCTAATACTTGCATTGAGGTAGAAGGAGGGCATTTTCAGCAACTATTATAAGTCTAGTGTTATTTACTGTCAAATGTTTTCATTGAAATAAAAGTTTAAGTGTAGTTTTAAAAAGGCGTTTTTCCGATACGATTTATTTTAATGTCCAGCGTTACCAATGTGCAACGCCACTGGAAAAACATTGCAACAATAAATAACGTTATGTAAATATTTTATGTTTATTTGTTTTATCGAATGCATGTATAATCTGTTTAAAAAAAGACTTCCGTGTAACTTAGTTATCAAAAACATACAATAAAGTGCTTTTTATTCATCTCGCAAACGAAGCGAGATATGAAAGAAACTCAGGAGAGAAAAAAGTTGTATTTTTGGCTGCTGAATTTAAAGAAAAAGAAACATTGAAAAAGTCAGTGGCTCACAAATTTTTTTGTCAAAGATGTTGGTTAGGGTGTTTTCCGGGACGCCACTGAACTTAATAGTTTCAATCTAATAGGGTCTAAATTAGCTCCTTACGACCCCTAATAGTACTCGTAAATTTAAACAAAATCGACTGAAAGTTTATTAAGATATTTAGGAAAAACCGATTTATAAAAAAGGTTGACACCCTGTATCTTGAAAATGAAGCATCGCTGAGCCTATGTTTATATAAACTTTTCATCTTAAAATTACTCAGATAATCACCTCCTGAAGTTTGGCCACGTACATAAATAACACCCTGTATCTACATATAGGTATAACATCCAAAAAACATATCTCAATTCCGAAATTTTTCACGATAAAATGTAGTAATCATACTTCGTATAATAAAAAAATCCATGAAAATACCGTATATGCACTAGGCAACTGATTCCAGCAAAAATATACTATACTATTTTTTTTTTGTTGGTGCATTACTTTCTTGGAGAACAAATTAGAAAGGTTTAGAAAAGGCATATGAACTCAGACTTTGCTTATCACGTCTACAATTATTTGGTCCATACAAGTTGTGTCTTGCATTTCGACCGAGTCGTTACCCAGCTTGGTAAAATGGCCCTAGTAGGTCAACTGCCGGGTACGAATCTTGGTGCATCCCTATCTAAGTCATTTTTTCAGATGCAAACTGCTTGTTGATGTACTATACCAACTCTGAAAGTCAGTGCCCACAGTTTGAGATAGCTATTAGATAATGTAGAATTTTAAGCTATGCATAATAAATTTAGTTAAATACTGAGCTTGACCAGTTATTGCAATGGAGTCATCCTTTGAAAAACCGATTATTATTATTATACCTGGTGATAACGAAAATTCTAGACACGCTGTATTTTTTTGGCAATTGAAGATATCGTTCCAAGGTTGGGACATGTTCAGTTAGTCGTTAAGAGGCATTTTCTGAAAGTTGAATGGGTTATCTCTCCCTTCCG